TCATTATAAGAAGTGTTTGTAAACTAAAAATCAAGAATGTAGGATACTGTTTGTCCGTGATTTGGAGAGCCCAACACGCGGGGAGATCTACCTCGGCACTTGTGCAGGTGAAGCCAAAGAGAAGATATGCTTCACCATGTTTTCTAGTTTTTGGCTTGGAAGGGAGTTGGTTTGGAAACATATTTGGTGATGTTTCATCTCCTGCTTTGTGTTTGTATGGAAGCCCCGTTAAAAACCTGTCAATTATGCTAGCAGTATCCAAACGTTCTTTTTTTTTCTCTCTTTTCATACCGCGCCCCCCCCTGCAATGGCTCTGTGCCCCCCCTAGGGGGTGGGCCCCACACTTTGGGAACCTCTGGCTTAGAGCATGGCTGTACACAGTGGTGCACTAAGGTAGGCCTATTATCAGCAAATCAACACCATGGACTTGGAATTACCAAATGGTCTATTGTGGATCTACACTCTACAGCCTCTCAACTGGTATTCACCAAGGCATCACAGTGGTAAATGACAAAAATAGATATAGCTATTATTGCGGTCAGGTTCAGGGTGTCACACCAGCACCAAAGTGGTATTTAACAAAAAGCCCATACATTGCCCTCACTCAATAAATAATAAAAACATATGTAATCATGTCACACCTGTCTCGGTGGATACACATCATTGCAGACATTTTGAGTAGATGAAGTTATTGATGTACTTGAAGTAAAGGAGGCAGGACTAGTTGTTGTCAGAGGTACTGAGCTGGAAATTGTGGCCTTTGTAGTAGTGCTGAATACTGTAGTTGTAGAGTGTGCAGTAGTGGGCACACTTGGTGTCACAGGACAAGGACTGGACTGTGTCTCAATTTCACAAGATGCATTGCAAAATGCAGCATAACACCACCCTAACCCATCAGTGACATTGTACACAAAGTCCCCTGTGAAAAAACAAACAAAAACAAAACACAGATAATTAAACAAGCGCTGTACTGGTATCCAACTGGACAGGCTGGATGCGTATGTGTGTGTCAAATTAACAGTTTTTGTTATGTCCATTTCTAACTATAGACTGATATGCTTTTTCTTCATGAATAGCTCTGGGATTTAGAACAATATGCATTCAAATAAGAACTTCAGATGAGAATATAAAACTCTAAATTTGAGGTAAGATAATGGATGAAAACAACATTGAGGGACTTAATGACCTATATACAGTGACATACTGTGCAGAAAGTTCCCCAATTCCCTATGAAACCCATGTTGGTTTTTGTGGAGACCATTCAGAAAGCCAGACATGCAGTAACATGCAGCTGAAGTTACAATGTCACCTGCTCTGGCCCCAGGAATAGAATTATCTATAGTAGTTGGGGTTTACCATCACGACTCTAAAAATAGTTAGAAATAACCTAATTTTTTCCTTGAAAAGTCTGTTGCCAAGTGGGTAAGGTAAAGGTGTACCAAGGGTTAAGTTTTGGACTACACATCTTCCTCACAATCAACTGTTTTCCTGGATGCTTTGGGAGAACCTGCTATACGACAGCTAACTGGGTCTAAACTTGAAATTTAAAACAAGAACAGAGGTGTCCTAGCAACATGTGTTCAGAATTAAAGAAAAATAAAATGATAACAAAAATGAAAGAGAAACCTACCAGCATGATGCGAAGCTCCATTGACAATGCATACACATTGTGTTGAGGTTGTATTAAGGGGTGATGAAGAAGCAGCTGTGGTTGTGGTTACACTGGGGCTTACACTAGTTGCGTAAACAGTAGTGCTGCCTGGAACAGTCTCTGTTGTAGGAGTAAAAGAAGTTGTATCTCTAGATGTTGAGGGTAAAATGGTTGTGTTTAAAACAGAAGGATTTGAAATTGCAGTTGAAGAAAACGATGATCCTGTTATGACAACTAAGGTTGATGCAGCTGTGGTAGAGGATGTTGTTGGTCCCGATGTAACTATTTTTGGTGTTTTTGTTGTCATAACTGTGGCTGTTGTGGATTCAAATGCTGTTGTC